TTGACCTAGTCAGATTAACAGCAGAGTATATCATTGTACTTTTTGAATTTTCTGTTATTCTGTGTTCATTTGGAAAGGTGGTCCTCATAATGTTTTAAAGCAGTCATTGGTGGACCATGAGTTGCAAAAGGTTGAGAACACCTTCTTTAGAGCAACAGACTTAAGTTTGATCTCTTTTCAAAGACGACACTTGCAGATTATTCCTGAAGTCAAGTCCTTCATTTATACAGCGCTTTTAACAATATAGACTGTTTTAAAGCAGCTTTACAGTGATAACAGGAGATTACAGTAACAGAGATTTTTTAGGCTTTACAGCAGCTCTAGAATAAAGTTATTGTCCAGCTAATAAAGCAATAAATGCCGTGATTTACAGTGAATTTAGAACAGCTAAGAGGCGTTAAAACCCAATTTCTCATTTCAAGCATAACCCATTATTTTGATACTTAATATTTTCAGTCATTCTGGGTTCGATTCCCAGCGAATGCATGAACTGATCAAGTGACAAAAAAATAAACTTAATCCAAAGGGAAAACAAGATACATTTTTTTTACTCCATTTTCTCATTTCAAGCATAAACCATAATTTTGATACTTAATATTTTCAGTCACTCTGGGTTCGATTCCAAGCGAATGCATGAACTGATCAAGTGACAAAAAATAAACTTAATCCAAAGGGAAAACAAGATTTTTTTAAACTCCATTTTCTCATTTCAAGCATAAACCATAATTTTGATACTTAATATTTTCAATCATTCTGTGTTCGATTTCTAGCGAATGCATGAACTGATCAAGTGACAAAAAAATAAACTTAATCCAAAGGGAAAACAAGATAAAAAATGTTTTACTCCATTTTCTCATTTCGAGCATAAACCATAATTTTGATACTTAATATCTTTAGTCTCTGGGTTCGATTCCCAGCGAATGCATGAACTGATCAAGTGTACATCTTGAATGCAATGTAAGTATCTTCTGACAAAAGCGTCTGCCAAATGCATGAATGCTCAGTATATCGCAGAGCCCGATATAATGAAGGTTGAACTCGCTGCCAGAGCGTTAAGGGCAGCAGACAGTGGGGAGTTTGCTCAAATACTCGCTTCCCCTGCGCTTTCTTTTTGACACGTCTAAAGGGTCCTTTCTGTCCCGATGCCACTCTTCCCTGTAGTTTCCATGTGGGGGGAAAGAGCCCGTGACCTCGGCACCAATGTCTTGGCAGAGGCGTTTTGCGAGAGCAGAAGGTCCGAGTGCTGCCAGATACACAGCAATATGATGCTTAAAATGCAACTCAGTTTGTTTTTCAAGCCTCTACCTTCTCTTTAGCAGTTTGCTTGCATCATTTTCCCACCAACTAACAGCAACCGAAAACACGGCCGATACAGGGATGAACGCTTCCAGACTGCGATGAGAAATCGACAGACTGACGGATATAAAATTGGGTGAGTATTTGGACGCCAGAAGGTCAAGCCCCTTTTTGACCCTCCCTTTTCGCCCCCCACGTCTATATTTATGGTCTGCTCCTGTCTCATGTAAAGAACAACAGCAGGAGCGGACCATCACATTTGGTCCCCAGCGTGGGGGCCGTTGGTAATCCGAACCGTTCCAGCTTTCCCACAGAGCCTCTCTTCTGCTTCTCTGCGAATACTCCGGCTTTCCTCATTTGCATCTGCTAATTAGATCCTGTTAGCATCATTTTGTACATGACACCCCTCTAAAGCAAACAAATGAATACATCCACTTGTAAAGAATATAACAATACTGTTAAAGATACTAATTGACTTATGTAAGAGGGATCGGTTTCCATTTTATATGCGTATTCCCAAATGCTTTGTCTAATTAAATATGGACTCTTGGAGGATGTGATAGGATAAATATGTTTGCCTCTCCTTTTCTGTCTATCTAATCATTTCTTGTACACCCTGTTTAGCCACACGCTTGTAAGACATGTGCTAGTCATTATCCATAAGGAGCAACGTTGCATATATGGTGTAATAAGGAATGGAATTGTTTGTCTCTCTATGGACTCTTTCAGCTAATCTGACTGTCTCATTTCTTTCCTATATGAAATTGTTATTCCATTTGTTAGTTTCAGCCAACACCCTAGACTTGCTATATAAACTGCACAAGCACACTAAAGCTGACTTTGAGTGAACTGCACTTCTCTCTATGTGTGTGTGTATGTGTGTGTGTGTGTGTGTCATTGTGTGCGTGGGTGGTCCACTCTGTTCTGCATTGATCATTGATCAAAAAGTCGCAATTATCTTTTAAAATGTTTTATTCTGTGGCGGGAACAAGCTTCCATATGAACCTGAGCAAATCTTGATTGTGAATTTTTTGACCACCATTGTTGTCGTCTGAAACTCCCCAACAGATTTCTGTTGGAATGACTGGATTTCGCCCGCAAAAATTCGCTGAATAAAGGAACCGTTATAGTCTATATCTAATGGCGCGGAGCGGAACGAGTGTTTTAAATTCATTCCTATGGAAGTTGAGCTTCACGCTCGCGCGGTGCGTTGTGGGATCGACCGCGGAACGGAGAAAGCGTTGAGAACGGCCGAGAGCGTCAAAGGTTGGGTAGTTCTCGACCTCGATGCAAATATAACGCGAAAAACAGATACGTCTGTTTTGAGCGTTTAAAAAAACGCCATTGTTTACACATTGGACGCTTTGCAGTTGTTACATATACTGTGTGTAATTGCAGTTTGGATGCTTTCATTGTGATTGTACTGGCTGGGTTTACATATGTATAAAATTGACAGCTTGTCTTTACATAGGGCTACAGGCTATCAAAGCTTGTATCTGTGATGATTGTATTGTTGGGGAAAAAAACAGATTAAACCACTATAGACATGCCCAAAAGTATGGAAGCTTGTTTCCGCCACAGAATGAAAAATAAAAAAGGTAATTGCGACTTTTTATCTCACAATTCTGACTTTTTTTCTCACAATTGCGAATTTACATCTCGCAATTCTGACTTTATTTCTCAGAATTGCAGGTTATAAAGTCAGAATTCCGTGATATAAAACCGCAATTGCGTGTTATAAAGTCAGAATTGCGAGATATAAAGTCAGAATTTATTGATATAAAGTCACAATTGCAGGTTATAAAGTCAGAATTGCGTGATATAAAGTCGCAATTGCGTGTTGTAAAGTCAGAATTGCGAGATATAAAGTCAGAATTTATTGATATAAAGTCACAATTGCAGGTTATAAAGTCAGAATTGCGTGAAATAAAGTCGCAATTGCGTGTTGTAAAGTCAGAATTGCGAGATATGAAGTCAGAATTGATTGATATAAAGTTGCAATTGCTTGTTACAAAGTCAGAATTGCATGATATAAAGTCAGAATTACGAGATATAAAGTCAGAATTGATTGATATAAAGTCGCAATTGCGTGTTACAAAGTCAGAATTGCGTGATATAAACTATTCTGAGGGGAAAAAGTTAGTCTTTTTTCCCCCTTAGAATTGGCCTGATAACTCGCAATTGCTAGTTTATATCTCACAATTCTGAGAAAAGTCAGAATTGTGAGAAAAGTCAGAAAAGTCGCAATTCTGTATTTTTTTCTCGCAATTGCGACTTTTTTTCTCATAATTGCGACTTTATGTCTCGCTATTGCGACTTCATTTCTCAGAATTGCGACTTTATATCGCAATTGCGACTTTATTTCTAAGAATTGCGACTTTATATCTCGCAATTGCGACTTTATTTCTCACAATTCTGACTTCATATCTCGCAATTGTCAGATACAAAGTCGCAATTATTATTATTATTTTTTTTTATTCAGTGGCGTAAACAAGCTTCCATACAAAAGCGAAGGCATTTTAGCAAGGACATTCACTGCTACAGATACAAATATGACAACGTTTTCAACAAATTTTTTTTGTAATGCTTTTTGGCCACTCATTTAAGCTTTGTGTGGGCTTGAAAACGCAAACCTTTGGAAACGGGTTTCAAGTGCAGGTTTTTGTCTCCATGTACCTAAACTACAAAAACACAAATCTGTGAAAATGGTGATGGCATGTGCATTTACAGATTGACATCGCCAACTACTGGCATGGCAGCAGAATACAGCTTTTTAAATCGTTTTTGCGATCTGTGTGAACGGGTTCATTTTGACAATGTTGTCGTCTGTACGAGAAAAACGCAACTTTTCCGTATTTAGTAAATCATTGGTCTTGTAAACACATACACTCAAATGCATTAAATGATGTTTTATTTTAACAAGGTTCGGGAGGAGCAGGTGCAGATAATTACCCCAATCAGCACAAGTGGAGATCAATCAGTAATCAACTCAGGACAAGATAAATAACAGCGGAACCCACCTTTGTTCCTTGACAGTTTATTAGCATCCCACCTCCACCCCATCTCCTCACTTTTAGTTCCATCTATAGTTCCATCTACTCTTACCAACGGGGGAGTACTCTGGGTTCGGGCAAAAAATTCCGAGCTCGGAGCCCTCCACCCGGACAGCACGCCAAGTACGCATAACCTTTACCATAATAATTATATGTAGATGTGAACTCGTGAAACAGCACATGCATCTGGCCGGAGGGCAAGCCGCTCTAAACTAGTTTTATGTGTTAGTTTGACATTTAGTATAGTGCACTTTCCCCCCAACAGCAGTATTTTCACATGCATTTGTAACATCAAAGTATATCTATATTATATGGATATTGTCCCATCCTGTATTGGAGTTTCAAATTGAACTGAGTTCGTTCGTGCAGGACTGAAAATCTTCAGTACAAATATGTGAATATGTGTAGCTAATATTTGAAACCTTTGTTGCATTATATGTCAATTCCAGAATATAATACACCGAATTATGGGTTATATTGTGCAGTATTCAGTAAGTGCACTAATGTTTCATTCAAAACACGACACTGTAAAAAGGGGCGGGGCGATTTCCACAAATCCAGCGGGAGTCTCGTGTCACTTCGTGAAAAACAATTTAGCACAAGTTCGTTGATTTATTAGCATTCCAGCACACTGAATATAGTTGAGCTTCATTTGAGTCATTGATTGATTTATTGTTTCTGTGGTTAATCACTTTCCCAGAGGTATTTTGTAAGCTCTTTATCTTCACAAACTTAAGCCAGAGGTAATTAATCCGATTTCTGTAGTTGCAGCGCAGAAATGCATCATGAATCAAATATCAAGCGTGACTAGAACATCAGTTTCTCCTATAATGACAATCTTACGGTATCATCTTCACTTCATCAAAAGTTCAGTCATTTGTATAGTCTGTCTGCGACTGCTTGTCTAATCATTTCAGAATGCATTGTTATTTTTCCTTGATTTAGCCTACACTGTTATGGAAGAAACACACTTTAATCACCTTTTATTTTTCCAGCTAAACAATGCTTGTTTAATCACTTTACAAAATCACAGGTATTGCAGATTTACTGGTAAAATCACTGTAACGCATGATGACCTTTTGCTTTTATACTTCAATGAAGATTTTAATCCTAAAACAAACAGAGAAACACCTCTGACTATGTCACGAAAACATAAATAATAATAATGTTTTTGTGCTACTGTTTTGAGAACATTATTAAAGACCAGATAACGCTGAATGAATGTTCTATGAATGTTACTGTAAGAACATTTGTTCATAACTTTGAGAGAACCTTGCCAGAACGTTCCCTGTTCGTTGGCGAGTCTCTACGAATCGGTTTAATAGTGAACGAGAAGCAATGATTTGTGTTGTGTAAAGATGTCAGTGTTTTAGATCTGTTTTGTCATTCAATGGTATGTTAAAATAACGATAAATATGTTTTTATTTGTATCTTTTAATACAAATCTAATGAATGAAGAGAGTTTTTATTTTGAGAAAACATGCTTTCCATCTTCTCTGTGCTTTCTTGCAGATGTGTGTAAGGTCATGGTCGCCGTCCTCGAGGCAGATTCGACCTTCCGCTTCTGTTTCTGTGTGTGTTCAGGTCTGTCAAAACCACTGGATTCACTTACGTTTAACTGGCAAAACCTTGAGCGATAGAAAGTGGCAGTGAAGAGAGAAACGAGGCTAAAAGTGCCGTTTTCCTGCCTTAAGCCTGAGATTAAAGAGGAAAACAGCTTTACAGGAACATTTCACCCAAAAAACAACATATTATTCTCACTCCAATGTTGTTCCAAACCTCTAGGATGTTAGTTTTTCCTGTGGACTTACTGTACCAGTTATACCAGGTTTGGAATGACATGAACATCATTCATTATTATTTGGTTACACTTTACAATAAGGTTCCACTAGTTAACATTGGATAATGTATTAACTACATTAACTTTTATTGTTTAAGGTTGATATGGGATTTAGAAACTAATTAGTAATGCAATATTTTTTACTTTTTGTTTGTTCAAATTTATCTGGTCTTTAATAACATTCTCAAAACGTTTGCACAAATATATGATATTTGCAAATTTATACATGGTTCAGGAAATGTTTCAATTGGACATTCGTCCAACAATTTTTTTCAAAAGTAACGTTCAATGTTTGCCAAATTTATAAATGTAACTACTTGTTTCAGAACGTTCAAAAGTAACAGTTCATAAGTAACGTTTTAAAAGTAACGTTTTAAAAGTAACGTTTTAAAAGTAGCGGTTTAAAAGTAACGTTTTAAAAGTAACGGTTTAAAAGTAACGTTTCAAAAGTAACGTTCAATGTTTGCAACATTTTCAAATGTAACTACTTGTTTCCGAATGTTCAAAAGTAACGTTTCAAAATTAACGTTTTAACAGTAACGGTTCAAAAGTAACGTTTCAAAAGTAACGTTTTAAAAGTAACGGTTCAAAAGTAACGTTTTAAAAATAACGGTTCTAAAGTAACGTTTCAAAAGTATCGGTTCTAAAGTAACGTTTCAAAAGTGACAGTTCAAAAGTAACGTTCAATGTTTGCGACATTTTTAAATGTAACTACTTGTTTCAGAGCGTTCAAAAGTAACGTTCCAAAAGCAACGTTTTAAAAGTAACGGTTCAAAAGTAACGTTTCAAAAGTAACAGTTCAAAAGTAACGTTTTAAAAGTAACGGTTCAAAAGTAACGTTTTAAAAATAACGGTTCTAAAGTAACGTTTCAAAAGTATCGGTTCTAAAGTAACGTTTCAAAAGTGACAGTTCAAAAGTAACGTTCAATGTTTGCGACATTTTTAAATGTAACTACTTGTTTCAGAACGTTCAAAAGTAACGTTTTAAAAGTAACGGTTCAAAAGTAACGTTTCAAAAGTAACATTCAATGTTTGCAACATTTTTAAATGTAACTACTTTTTCAGAACGTTCAAAAGTAACGTTCCAAAAGTAACATTCCAAAAGCAACGTTCCAAAAGTAACGTTTTAAAAGTAACGTTTTAAAAGTAACGTTTTAAAAGTAACGGTTCAAAAGTAACGATTCAAAAAGAAACGGTTCTAAAGTAACGTTTTAAAAGTAACGGTTCAAAAGTAATGTTTTAAAAATAACGGTTCTAAAGTAACGTTTCAAAAGTATCGGTTCTAAAGTAACGTTTCAAAAGTGACAGTTCAAAAGTAACGTTCAATGTTTGCAACATTTTTAAATGTAACTACTTGTTTCAGAGCGTTCAAAAGTAACGTTCCAAAAGCAACGTTTTAAAAGTAACGGTTCAAAAGTAACGTTTCAAAAGTAACAGTTCAAAAGTAACCTTTTAAAAGTAACGGTTCAAAAGTAACGTTTTAAAAATAACGGTTCTAAAGTAACGTTTCAAAAGTATCGGTTCTAAAGTAACGTTTCAAAAGTGACAGTTCAAAAGTAACGTTCAATGTTTGCGACATTTTTAAATGTAACTACTTGTTTCAGAACGTTCAAAAGTAACGTTTTAAAAGTAACGGTTCAAAAGTAACGTTTCAAAAGTAACATTCAATGTTTGCAACATTTTTAAATGTAACTACTTTTTCAGAACGTTCAAAAGTAACGTTCCAAAAGTAACATTCCAAAAGCAACGTTCCAAAAGTAACGTTTTAAAAGTAACGTTTTAAAAGTAACGGTTCAAAAGTAACGATTCAAAAAGAAACGGTTCTAAAGTAACGTTTTAAAAGTAACGGTTCAAAAGTAACGTTTTAAAAATAACGGTTCTAAAGTAACGTTTCAAAAGTATCGGTTCTAAAGTAACGTTTCAAAAGTGATAGTTCAAAAGTAACGTTCAATGTTTGCGACATTTTTAAATGTAACTACTTGTTTCAGAGCGTTCAAAAGTAACGTTCCAAAAGTAACATTCCAAAAGCAACGTTCCAAAAGTAACATTCCAAAAGCAACGTTCCAAAAGTAACGTTTTAAAAGTAACGTTTTAAAAGTAACGGTTCAAAAGTAACGATTCAAAAAGAAACGGTTCTAAAGTAACGTTTTAAAAGTAACGGTTCAAAAGTAACGTTTTAAAAATAACGGTTCTAAAGTAACGTTTCAAAAGTATCGGTTCTAAAGTAACGTTTCAAAAGTGATAGTTCAAAAGTAACGTTCAATGTTTGCGACATTTTTAAATGTAACTACTTGTTTCAGAGCGTTCAAAAGTAACGTTCCAAAAGTAACATTCCAAAAGCAACGTTTTAAAAGTAACATTCAATGTTTGCAACATTTGTAACAGTAGTTAAATGTAACTACTTTTTCAGAATGTTCAAAAGTAACGTTCCAAAAGTAACATTCCAAAAGCAACGTTTTAAAAGTAACGGTTCAAAAGTAACGTTCCAAAAGCAACGTTCCAAAAGTAAAGTGATAGTTCAAAAGTAACGTTCAATGTTTGCGACATTTTTAAATGTAACTACTTGTTTCAGAGCGTTCAAAAGTAACGTTCCAAAAGTAACATTCCAAAAGCAACGTTTTAAAAGTAACATTCAATGTTTGCAACATTTGTAACAGTAGTTAAATGTAACTACTTTTTCAGAATGTTCAAAAGTAACGTTCCAAAAGTAACATTCCAAAAGCAACGTTTTAAAAGTAACGGTTCAAAAGTAACGTTCCAAAAGCAACGTTCCAAAAGTAACGTTCCAAAAGTAACGGTTTAAAAGTAACGTTCCAAAAGTAATGTTTTAAAAGTAACGTTTTAAAAGTAACGGTTCAAAAGTAACGTTCAATGTTTGCAACATTTTTAAATGTAACTACTTGTTTCCGAATGTTCAAAAGTAACGTTAAAAAATAAAATAAACATTAAAAAAGTAATATTTGCAAAATGACGAAATGGAACGTTCCCTTAAAATGAAACTTTTTCATTTTTTAATAAGAAACATTAAAAAAATGGCACCTTCAGAGAACATCATAAATAACTCAATGGGAACACATGTTTGTTCCTCTCCGCTGTCATCTAAACATCATCAAGCACATTTGACCAAAACATGAAAGCAAATGCTTTTCCACCCCACGAGCTTCATTAGAGCCGCGCGTCTTCTGTTCTGCGCAGACCTTTGCGTTCGGCCTTTTGTCTGTCGGACCGAAGCGTTTCTGCTCAGCGGGTCCAAACTTCTCCGCGCAGTAATTAACCTCTCTGAGGAGAGTGTGTGTGTGAGAGAGAAACACATAAAGAACTGTATAAGAGCCCAGAGCAGAATGGATTCTGAGAGCGTCTGTCTCGTGTGCACGATCCCATTCAAAGCCACGCGTTCTTCCTCCTCTTCCTCTTCTTTTAACACAGGTGAGCTCCAGCATGTAATGAAGGGAAACTGTGATATGTGGAGCCGAGAGCAGATCTTTCTCTCTTAATGAATACAGAAAACACAGCGTCTGAATGGACGAGCTCGGGCTCCTGCTGAAGAAGGCCCTCTGACGCCGGCTCTTATTAAAGCACATAAAGCACAGGCAGAGAAAGTAATTTTGTTCGATCCTTTTCTCCTGGTGGTTTCTGCCACTTTTTTACGGAGGGGCTTTTATGGAGCTCATAATTATTTCGGTGAGTGGCCTCAAGCACAAACCCAGGAGTCTTTGTATCTTTTTGACATTTTTGGGAGAAAATGGATGTCATATTAACATTTCTGTCATTTCTATTTCAGTTCTGAACCAAGAGCATGCTTTGCTAAAACACTGGCATGTTTTATGCTTGTTATTTGGGTTTAGCATTTGATATTCAAAAGACAACATATTTGCAAATCGAATTAATTTGAACTAATGTAGTTAACTAGTGGATCCTTGTTGTAAAGTGTTACAGTTTTTCTTTCTCACCTAATTTGCTATTTCTGCTGTTTTGTATCGTAATATTGACGTACAGAATATTCACAATTATTACAATATTTAAAGTGACATCATTCTTGAAACAAAATATTTTGGTTTCATTGGGTAACTAGTGTTAACATGAACAATACTTACACAGCATTTATTAATCTCTACATTTACCTATACATTTTTAATATAAAAATCTGTCAACATCAGTTAATGCACCGTGAACTAACATGAACATAACATTAACAAAGGTTATTAAATGCTATAAAAAAATATATTCCTTATTTGTTACTTAATGTATTATAAAGTGTTACCGCTTTTTCATGTTAATGATTTAGTTTTTTACCGTTTATGACTCATAATAGGCAACGACAGGTGCAGTTTTTGGTTTTAGCATTTGATATTCAAAAGACTGAATAATCTGAATGTTTTGACTGGACTGATTATATTATGTTTGTTTGGGAAAACATCACAAAAAGGTGCCATTAGTAAATGCATTAATAACATTATCAGTGAGCAATGCAGTATTTATTAATCTTTCATAACATCAGTGCATGTTTGCTCAGGTCCAGTAAATAATAATTATAACAGATGAACCTTTTGATTTGAATAATGTTGAAATTAACATTAGCTAAGATTAATAAAGGCTTTAGGAGTTAAATAATCTAGTGTTAAAAAATGGATCCTTGTTGTAAAGTGTTACAGTTTTTCATTCTCACCTGATTTATTTGCTATTTCTGTTGTTTTATATCATATAATATCATATAACCAGTATAATTTTAATCGTTCCCAATATT